TCTACTCCAGTACAGAGACGGCCACTGGCTCGTCAATGTGGAGAAAGATCAGAAAGCCGAGCCGGATCTACTCTCGGTATACGCTACTCGGTATACCAAGCCCTCAAAGGAACTAAGAAAGGACCTTAGCGTTAGTCAGGGGACAGCGCACCGGATCTTCGGCCATATCGGCCGAAAAGCAGTAGGGCACTTGAACAATCACGTGCTTGGGATTAATGTCGAAGAACAATTAATCGCTCCAACGTGGAAAGACTGTGAGGTCTGTATCAAGACAAAGCTTCACAAGTTTATAAGCAGGAGAGCTCAAAGTGAGCCAGCTGCTAGTCCTTTCTATCGCATAGGAATAGACCTAGTGCAGCTAAGAGAAAGAAATGAGCGCTGCTACAATGGAGATCTGTGGATGCTACATGCGGTATGTCCGTACAGTAAGTGGCATGAGGCTGCATGTCTACCCGACAAGAGCTCAGCTACCCTCAAATCCACAGTCATGCGCCTGCTAGCAAAGATCAGAAGACAGTTCGGCGCTCAAGTTTCAGTCGTGAGGCTCGACAGTGAGCGCGGATACAGCGAGTTGCTGCACGTGCTCAGAGATCTCGGCATTATCGTAGAACCTCGAGCGGAGTATACAGAAGAACAAAACGGCCTTTCAGAACAGGCTGGGAAGATGATCGTGATCCGAGCGAGAGCGATCAGAATTGATGGACGACTGCCGGTAGAACTCTCGAATGAGTGTTGTCTTGTAGCAGTCTACTTGCTTAACAGGACGCCCACAGAAGCGCTAGGATGGAGAACGCCATACGAGGTTGTACGTGGACAGAAGCCGTTGGCAGCTCACCTCAATATTGTGGGAGCCCGAGCCATACATGACTATCGTGGTTGAACCACATTAAGAATCGCTCTAAACCATACCATATTAGTATCGTGTAAACCATACCACGTTAATTATGGTGTTGAACCGCGTTGAATACCGCGATAAATACCGCGTTAAGTAAATAAACATTAATTTGAACATGTTGGTGTGGTTACTTGCTTTAATACCAATCTATCCCACCCGTTCCCTCATCCACAACACTGAGGAGAGTTTCCTGAAGCTCTGGCTCAATCGGTAGACCCATCCCATTGTCCCAGACCGGCTTAATGTGCCTCTGTCGTATCCAATTGCCGATACACTCGATCATCTCGATAGTGGTGCATCGCAATCGCAATCTGTCCCATGAACAGGTCCTTCTGGCCCCAGAGAATGTCCTTTCCGGCTCTGACGATTCTGCGGGGATAGATAGAATAGCCATTGCCATGCGGCTAAGCCCTGGAAAGCTGCGACGCTGCTCAGATTGACACCACCACTCGAGAGGAGTGACTCCATCATTCAAATCAATAGCTGGGCCATTAATAAAACTTCTAAAGTTGTCATCTGGCTTTAAACTGATGGTCTTCACCTTCGTCTTCTGTTTTAATAAGGTGAAGACGTTCACAGGCTTATCTAGCTGGCCAGCCGAGATACCGGGTGCGTTCTCTGGAGCTGGAAAAGAATCTGGTTTGATATCAGGCTTGAAATCGTTCACCCAGATTGTATTGGCGAGTTCAATGGCAGGCTCCACCCACTCTTCTGGCCAGTTCTGGTGTAGGTAGGCGGCTCGCTTGCGCGGATCGAGTAGTATCGCAGCAGCGTACACAGGTGTTTCTCCCGTTTTGTTGTAGTATTTGTCGAGTACGTACCAACCCATATCGATGGCTCGAATCATGCGTTCATCGTGGTTCTCAGGTAAGGAGTAGTAGTTCTACTAAACGTGAGTATTCGGACCCATTAAGTAGAACCAGATACTGACCTTCTGCTCTTCATACCACGTTAATAGGAGATCCATCAGCTCAAGCGATTGCGCGACCGATGACTTGTCTTTCTCTGCGTACAGAGTAGCCGATGCGAATGGCTCTAAAAAGTGAGCAGCCTTTTCGAGGATATCCCAATCGTTCGCTTGAAGCCGATTGTCGCCCAGGATGTCCTCGTGGTCGGTCATAAAACTCTTGATCTTGTCCATCTTCTTTAAGGCTCGTGAGATGACCTGATACCATGAAGACCATCGTGTCCGATTGTCGATCCCGAGGCGTAGACCGATAGCTCTATCCCAAAGACCCTGGTGGATAGTTGAACCTCGGAGCCAGACCGCGAGATTGTGAAGCTTGCGTAATGTGGGGATATTCTCAACACCATCAAAGTCCTCAACTGAGATGATGCTTGCATTACTACCCTGCTGCTTGCGTTGTTTGCTTTGTCCCTTTGTACGAGAACGCTCTGCTTCCGTTCGTTTTCGATGAGAGGCGAGGACACTCGAAAACTGCGTAAGAAGGGCTTCTCCAGCGACACCAGAGACAGTCTCAAGAGCAGCAATAAGAGCCTCTCGGGAGGACGCAAGAAGGAAAGCTTGAAGGGAGAGATTGATGATATGAGCGATACAACGGACCCGACGATGTTTTGCATTGAAGTCGACCTATTTAGATGATTAGCTTAATAAGTGCTTAATTGAACCTATAACTGACGTTGTATTCACGCTTTAATTGCTTTGATAACGCTTCCAGACAGGTATCGTTGGACGCCGCATTATCGCCTACGTGATAGCCGATATGGGACGTGATATTATACTTTCTAAGAGTATCCATAATGTAAACCGCTTGCTGCTCTCCAGAGTGGCTGTCACGTAGCTCTGGGAGCCCTAGCAGTGCCTTCTGAAGCTGATAGTCTCGATCGACCCACTGTGCGCAAACTGCAAGCATTGAATGACGATGCGGCGATGTCCAGAGGTCCGAAGAGATGTGAATAGGGCTCATAGCAGCTGTCATGCTGGTAGACAGCTGCTCTCGATAGAGCTCGTGGTTTGCCGTAATGTATCGCACAACCGTAGTTCGCGCAGTAATAAGCTCGTCCTTGATAGCAGGGTTGCAAGCGAGGCAGAGTTGCTCCAGTTCCTCCCATTCGACAGCTAAGAGAGGCACTCTACGACGAGTGAGTAGTCCTATCAAAGCCTCGCGATAGGCCTGTGGGTTGAAACTACCCCGTAAAGTGTCTGTTGCAGTAATGGGAGTGTAGATAGATGAAATAGACCGCTGGGTGTTTGCATAAGGACGAGTCCCTGAGGACATCGATGTCACCGGATGCTTCACCTTGACGTGGGTGATGGTGTTACCGAGATGCGTCTCCTCCCAGCTAGGACATATCTTACAGACGTATAGCCTCTTCTCTTTGCTTCGTCGTTTACGACCTGGTTGTAGTGAAGCTAGGCCTTTCTTTGGTTCGCGGATGAGGATGACCTGATGGAAGTTAACAGGCTTCGTTTTGCGGTCTGCGGTTGCAGAATCGGACATCTCTGACTCCGAGGACGGTATAGGTGACATTTTGAGAGGTGTGGGATCGATATATATGATGATTTCAGATAATTGAATGGTAGAGAAGGATAGAGATAAAAGTTTTGAGAGTTGTAGTGTTGAATTATGAGGTTCTAAATGAAGTGCTTAAAGTGACTTGCCTTCTGTATTAAGGTCCTGATAGCCGTTAAATACATCAAATCTACAGAAGTGATAACTAAACGGTAGTGACTGCTGCCTGTTGTATTATAGTCTGCCTGTAATACGATAAAGGGGCGTTTCCTAGGTCGTTGTTGCCTGTAGGCATCAAGAGCTGTATCTCTGTATCCAACATGTAGACCTGCCAAGCCATTAATGCGTTTTGCGGTTGAACCACATTAAGCTAATGGACTAACCTGGTTTAGACTCAATATCATGAAACCGCGGTTAGATATAAACCCGGTTTAAAACCACGTTAAGGTGGTCATGTATGGTCTTCGTCCAGGATCCCATACTTGGCCTTAACGTTGCGTACAAGATCGAACCAGGGACTAATAATAGCTGGGTTGCTGCACAGGACTCTCTGGTGATCCCGCTGTCTTGTTACCTGAGATTTGATCTCAGGTCTCCGGAGTACAAGCCTGTAGGTCCAGTTTTCTCCAACCTGGCCACCACTACGTGTAGCTAGTAGTTGGTTGGCCATTTCTCGCACGTAGTTGAGCGTAGGGGCAAAGCCTCGCGTATCAAGCTTCCTTATATATTGTATGATCGCCTCCTCTTCATGCCTCTGGAGTTTTGATCGGTTGGGTTGAGTATCGCGTCGTGAAGCCTTCCCAGCGCGTCGATTGCGGAGAGTGCTTTCATGTATATTGTAGCGATGCGCGGCTTGTCGCTGGGTAAACGACGCGTTGGATTTCATAGCTTGGATAGCCTGGATAACTCTATCTTCAGTAGAAAGCAGTTCAAGATTTGGTAGTTGAGACATTGTGATAGAGTTGAAAGTGGTGGGGGCTTGGCAGAGTGCGCATTTCGATGGTGTGCGCATCTCGATGGTGGGGCACTTTATCTAGATTAATACTAGAAGTGTTGCATATGCTGCAAAAGCGATTTATTAATTCTAAAAAATTTAGGGAAGCTCCTGAGCATGCCTACTAACGTTGTACTTGCATCTTAACCCTTCTCGCCACTTTCTAGTTGTGTGGGCGAGTTTGGTGACTGTGGTGTTAAGACGTCAGTTTCCACTAACTTCCCCCAACACCTCTCGCTCCGGTGTCTCGTCAGCCTCTGCGTTCCTATAAAGCTTCTGTATTGCATCTAAGTTTCTCTGTGTTAAGCCGCCGTAGTCCATCCTCCAATCATGTGCCTTTCTTCTAAGATGCGACAGCATTGATGGAGGTTGGTTAAAGTACTCCACCCACGCCTCGAGTGTCATACCTGTCTGCCTGTCCATAAGCATGTTTATGTCGTAGTGTCCCTTCTCAAAGACCTCCTCTTGACCTTTGTAATGTCCGCCTGAAGCTGTGGCATTGCGTAACACCAGTATTTGAAGAAGTTATATGTGTGTTGGTGTAGCTCAACTTGCGGGCAGGTGATATCATCCCACTTCTTGTACTTGGAGTACTCCCCATACTCTGCCGATTGGTGTTGACACTGCTGAGGTGCTCTCATTTGAGCGAGATGATCAGCGAGGATAGCTTTGTGAGACCTTCGATGCTAGAGTTTGAAGAAGTTGGTGACACCTTCCGCCGCCGGCGCCTCTTCTCGCTTTCAGAACGGTCTTTTGCCATCATGAGAGAGAGGTGAATCTCATCAGATGGCTCTTGAATCGTGCACTCTTCTCGGGCCACAGCGGTCGCCCAGATCGCGATGGTGTTGCCATTGACCTTGTAGTGCTCTTCCGGGCGATCGATTTGGCGACCAGGTAGAGGACGCCGCTAGCAAGTATTAGTGTTATTGCTGCATCCTTCTTCGTTGCATCTCCAATAGTCTTTGATGCCGATTGCAACGCCACTTGCACACCTTTCAGCAGTAACGACAGCAGCGAGTCCATCCTCTTGTATAGCCGTAACGATGCCAGGTCGCGAGCGAGCAACACCACCACTACGAGCCAGCTGCGATGCTGGCTGTAATGCCGGCAGCTCGTCCCTCAACACCAAATCAAAGTCGCACGTCATTAGCTGAGCGCTCTCCTTGTTCATTTCTACAACCTCGTCCTCAAAGTCCAACCAGTTACCGACAGTAAATCCCTCACCAGCTACACGTCGACTACGCTGCAGCGCAATAGTACACCTATCGGCTTTGGCTTGGCGGCTGCCGCTAGTATAGTACAGCGTCGCTGTTAAGCTCTCAATTTTGCTAACGCGTGGCTTCTGCGACTCTATTACACTATCCGCCCATCGCCACACCTTATCCTCGCTGACTGTGTACATAGGTTTATTACGCCTAGAGTCAGAAGCTGAAGCTATCGCATTCTTCTCTACTGACCCCCAGAACGCGCGGTATCGAAAGTGCAGGTGTGGCTCCTCGTCAACTTCTTCATTCTGTGACTCCAGGCGCTGCCGCTGACTCGATTGAGCCGCTGAGGCAGCGACAGCAACACCTGGTGAGTCTCCAGCACCGCCAGCAGCTCGCTCGCTAACTCCCTTATCTTCTTTAGCAGTAGCAGCTCGCAAAGCAAACTCTACGGGTCTATCCTCATCGTCCGCCGTCGTGTCAAATACCTCCTCGTCTTCATCCTCCCCAAGTATATCAGCGGTGTCGGTGGTGAGCTGGCTCGGCGCCTCAGGTTCGAAAACTGGGCTCGGAATATCGTGATTACGCTGCGGAGTCGGTACTCGCGAGCGGTTTAGGCGCCTGACCGTTGACGGAGGTGTGGGAGGTGCAGGATTGATACCTTGCTCGAAGATTTGGGATAGTTTACGCTGACGTTTGGCAGGTTTGCTGCTCTCACTACTCGCTGGAGGTACATTCTTCCGCTTGCTGTTACGAGCCATTGAAAACTACAACACTAGAAAACTATCACGAGACGCAGATTTGAGCTATCTAAGCTTCTTTATAGGTGCAGAATGTGGTAGGATACTGTTTGTACTACAAAACGCTAACAAACCAGATCTAGCGTCATCTCGTCACCAAACAACACTAAGTCACGTGGTCGGGCCGGTCTTTCGAGAACAACCCATAGTCAGCACCTAGGTAACCTCGCAGAAGATCTGTTTTAAAACGCCCTAGCTTATGCAAACACGTTATCTAGTATCTTGTTATAGACGCCTCCTACGCCGCTAATCTACAGTATTTTACGCGCTACGCCTACCTATAATGCCCCCAAAGCCCCCTAAACGCGCTGTTAATCGTGCTGCTGCACCTAATAAACGCGTTAGAGTTAGTCGCCAAAGCCCTCCATCGCAACCTCCATCCCAATTGCAGCCCGAGCTGCCTATATTAGCCTCGCCGCGCAGGGCCATGACGATTGCGGCGAGCCAGGCCACCGAGGAGACTCTATTCGAACTGCAGCTCTTCGATCCGCTACTTAGAGGCGCGCCTCCTCCGCTAGCTGAGGGCTTGACTGCTGCTACCAAAGCTACAAGCGAGGCAGGCAGTATCACCGGCGACACTACAGGTAATACTAGTGAGCTGGATGCCCGGTTTGCTGATACTTTTGACGGTCTCAACTGGGCTGATATACCTCAATATACGAAGCCCTTGAGAACCCTTAAGGGAAAGAAGAGCTGGGTATTCCAGCACGGCTATCGCGTCGCTAGACTCGGCAACCCTACAAGGACTTTCTGGATCTGTAGGCACTGCTATCGACACCAGAACAGAGATGGGATGCGCCCAATAGAGGTAACAACCTCAACGACAGCTGCGATAAGCCATATGGGTCAGGCTCGCGCAGGCCATCGCCTTAACCGTCAAGGCAGGCTCGCTAGTACTACGCTGCCTCGCGGCCAGACGTCTCTGCGACTGTTAAGTAATAGCCCTGTAGCTATATCTCAAGATATTGCAAACACGCTCGGAGGCTTCGATATACAGGGCTTTCGATACGCTGCAGTTAGCTGGCTAGTCGATAACAATCACGCCCTCCGCGAGTTCGAAACACCAGCTTTCCGCGAGATGATCGCGTACGCCAACTCAGAGGCCGCAGAAGCCCTATGGGTGAGTCACCGCAGTATATCAGCCTTTGTTATGAGGCTCTATCGATACCTAGAACCCTTAGTTGTTGTAGATCTGTCGCAGGCTGTTAGCAAAATTCACATAAGCTTTGACGGATGGACAACAAAGGGTGGTAAACGCGGGTTCTTTGGCGTTGTTGCTCATTATGCTGATACCTTTGGCAACCTTAGGGACCTACCTATTGCCCTGCCTCAACTTACAGGCGCTCATACAGGCGAGAGGATCGCTGAAGTTGTATACAAAACGCTCCAACAGTTCCAAGTTGATAGCTCAAAAGTTGATACTTTGTCCTCGACAACGCCTACGCAAACGATAGCGCTATCGCCAAACTCGCCGATATATACCAGTTCGACAGGCTCCATTGTCGACTCCGCTGCGCGCCTCATACGCTCAATCTCGTAGGCCAGGCGATTATTGTTTAGCAATAGAGTCTTTATAGATACGAGATGCACAGCGATAGTGTAGGTAGAGGTATATTGCCTTGTAAGACTAGAGACGAACCGCTGTCGAGCCACAACAGCGGTAAGGTAGGCTAATATACTGCGATTGCTTGGCATAACGGCCCGAACGGGCCCGGAGTAGCCTGGTGCCTGACAATTATATTTGGAGTTAATACTCAATCGTTTAATAATGATACAGAGGAGCATCAGGCTGAGACAGAATACCTGCAAAACTGGCGGCGCGATGGTCCACTAGGTGTCTTGCTTGATATAATTAACTATATCAAAACGCCTCAACAACACGATCTGTTTGCCTCGCTGCAGGCCTTAGTTAACAAGCAATCTTACACATAAACAGAAACGATATTAGAGCCTATTAAGCCTGTAGTTACACGGTGGAACAGCTATCACGACGCCTTTGAGCGTGCAGTACACCTATCCCAAACTTTTAACCTATATTCCAGCCACCATATCGAGCAGATCGCTCGCGACGACGCGTACGCTATATCAAAGGGCAACAAGCTACCAGAAGCGCCATCATGGATGCGATCAGATGGCCTATCGGCGGCAGATTGGGCGGTGGTAACTGAGTATATCGAGGCGTTGAGGCCGCTGAAGGAGGCCACCAAACGCCTTGAAGCTCACGGCAAAACAGGTGGATTTGGAGCTCTATATGAGGTGATCCCAGTATACGAGTATATCCTTAGTACCTATGAGGCGATAATTACTACCTACGATAGCGTTGACTATAGCCCTAATAGCGCTCCTGAGGACCACCTGCCTATTAACCTAAGGGCGGCCTGGCGGAAACTAAACGATTACTACACTAAACTCGACGCCTCGCCTGCCTACTACGGCGCTGTTTCCCTCCACCCGTACTACAAAAACTACTGCTTTAACAGCTGGCGCGATAAGCTTCACTGGCTTACCGCAAACGAGGATGCCCTACAACAGCTTTGGGCGCAATACAAGCCGCTATCGCTGCCTACAAGAAGGCCTCTACCGCCACGATCAAACACTATAGACGACGCGATCGATGCGCTCGTTGATCGCGAGTATACAACCGAGCTGAACATATCAGAGGCGGATGAGCTTGATTGCTGGCGGCGATATGAGCCAGCGTGGACAAAGGCGCAGTTCGCACAGGAAGGCAGCCCTATACTATACTGGATTGGCCTACGCACGCGATATCCTCACCTATCGCAACTCGCGATAGATCTGCTCACAATACCAGCCAGTAGCTGCCAATGTGAGCGCCTCTTTAGCGAGCTCGGCGATCTATTAGAGCCTCGGAGGCGGAAGATCGGATCTCAACTACTAGCCGTGATACAATGTGTACGGAGCTAGAGGAGGGCAGGTTTCAAGCCATCTAACGATATACAAGACACTCTAAATGAGTCCGAGTTAGCTGCAATCTACGATATATGCGATTGGGAGACAGATCTCTAGTGATCTGCATACAAAATTGCTCGAAGTTACACATCAAGAACAATCAAATCATCAATCAATTATCAAGCGACAAACCTTAAAACCTCATCAATCAAGTCAGTATCAATCCGAACTCGGAAGTTTTTCAATCAGGAACAATTAGAAGCTCAAAATTGACTGAATTGATTTTTCCCATCTCTAATAATCAACCACATTAAGACGCCGCAACAACACGAGCTCTTCGAGAGCTTTCAGCGTCTCGCTAATCAGGAGCTACCTATACATGAACAGAAGATATTGCAGCCCGTAAAGCTAGTTGTTACGCGCTGGAACTCATACTTCTCAGTTTTTGAGCGCGCTGTACAGCTCCAGGCTGCCCTTAACGCGTACGCTAGCCACTATATAACTCGCGTACGACGTGAGGATACGTACGCGTCAAGTTGCGGCAATAAGCTACCCGACGCCGCGATATGGATGAGATCTAGCGGGCTATCGGCTGCTGATTGGGGTGTTGTTACTGAGTATATTGATATACTAAAGCTGCTCAAGTTGGCAACAAAGCGTCTTAAGGGCCGCGGAAAAAGCGGCCGATTTGGGGCGATCGCAGAGGTTATACCAGTCTTTGAGTACATACTGGCTTACTACGAGCAGCGCATCAAAACCTACGAGTCTGTCGACTATAACGCGCACGCCGAAGCCCCCGAAGATCATATCGCGATCAACCTTCGCGCCGCGTGGGCAAAAGCCAGCGTCTACTACTCAAAGCTCGACGACTCGCCCGCATACTATACCGCAACGCTGCTCCATCCATACTACAAGACCTACCGCGAGGTAGCTTGGGCGGATAAGCCAGAGTGGCTCGAAGCCAACAACAGCGCATTTCGCGCGCTCTGGGCTCAGTGCAAGGGCTCTGAGCGCGTTATTCGGCCGCCGCGGGTCGTTACTAACGATATTGACGACGCGATCGACAGCCTTATCGATCCAAAGGCCACCTATAGCGCCAGCGATGGCGATCTAGACGAATACGAGCGATGGAAACGATGGGAACCGCGGGCGGAGAAAGGCTCAGAAGCCGCCAATAACCCGATACAATACTGGATACAACAGCGCGATCGCTACCCACGACTTGCCCAGCTCGCGATTGACGTCATATCGGCCCCAGCTTCAAGCTGCGACTGTGAGCGCATGTTTAGTGAGCTCGGTGATCTATTAGAGCCGCGAAGAGGGGCGATATCACCCCAGTTACTGGCGGCAATACAGTGCGTACGACGGTGGCAGAAAACTGGCTTCGGCACGGGCAAAACGGGGGCGACAAAACTAGTATCTGACCACCAGATAGACGCGTTGTACGGCGTATGCGACTGGGATCAAGACGACATGTAACTAGTATAGGCGGGCGGTCTATCGTACACAAATCTATCAAGCCTTCAAGCCTTCAAGCCAAGTTTCAAGCAAGCCGCCCAGAACACCAAAAGCTTGCAATCCAAGCCTATATCCAAGCTTCAAGAACGAGCCTCAAGCCAAGCCGACGTCAAAAGCTTGATTGGCTTGCTTGTTGGCAACTCTGGAGGCTCTCCACTACCCGCAGGCCCTACAACAGCTCTTTTTTAGAAGCAGTTTTTGCAGAAGCCTTAAGGTTGCGCTTCTTACTTTTTTGCAAAGTTTAAAGAGCTTGTTGAAATCGTTTTGCAGTCCTGCGAGCAGCTGCCCTAGAGGCCTGTTCAGCAGCCTTCTTAGCCTTCTCCTTCTCCTTTGCCTGCCTAGACTCCTCACGAAGTCTATTTATCTCAGCCTTTGGCGTTGTAGCAGCTCCTTCGCGCGCTCCTACAGACCGACAATTATTCTTGAAATTTCCGTTCGCTAAATTATGTTCTGATTGAAGTTACTGCCAGGCGATGTTACTGTGAAGCAATGGTATCATCTAAGATATTGGGCGCATGGGTTGGGAGAGTTGC